TCCTTAGCAATTCATGCATATTTATACTTTTGGTAGGATTCGTTTTTGATTTTCAGGTCATTAAAAAGCTTCGGATGGAGCCATATTGGCCTGTGACTTTCTTCCTGTCTTTCCTTTGCATTGGGATGGTTTGCAGTTGTGCCTTTAATATTGTCTCCTTGAGAAACTGCCGGTTCTCCTGAACTCCTTATGCCTTAGAGTTTCTTCCCATTGGATCTTGCATGCCAGTAGTCTGTTAAAGTCAGAGTCTATTGTCCTTATTCCGCTGCTCTCACTCCGTCCTTTCCTTGGAAACATGAAATCTCTCATTTCACAGTCACTTTCAGCCAAACTGCCTTCCATTTTCAGATTCGCTACCAATTCCTCCCTTTTGGTCAGAACCAGGTCTAAAAGGGCTGCCCCCTGCTTATTTCCTTCACTTTCTGATATAAGAAGTTGTCCCCAGTAAATGCCAAGAATTTATGGGTCAGCTCCCAGACTACTGCACTGGGCAGCACAGCATGGGGAGGAGGTGACCAGCCCTCTGTGGAGAAAGAAGTGGTTCGGGACTATTTAGAAAAGCTGGATGAGCACAAGTCCATGGGGCTGGATGCGCTGCATCCGAGAGTGCTAAAGGAATTGGCAGATGTGATTGCAGAGCCATTGGCCATTATCTTTGAAAACTCATGGCGATCGGGGGAAGTCCCGGACGACTGGAAAAAGGCTAATGTAGTGCCCATCTTTAAAAAAGGGAAGAAGGAGGATCCTGGGAACTACAGGCCAGTCAGCCTCACCTCAGTCCCTAGAAAAATCATGGAGCAGGTCCTCAAGGAATCAATTCTGAAGCACTTAGAGGAGAGGAAAGTGATCAGGAACAGTCAGCATGGATTCACCAAGGGCAAGTCATGCCTGACTAATCTAATTGCCTTCTATGATGAGATAACTGGCTCTGTGGATGAAGGGAAAGTGGTGGACGTGTTGTTCCTTGACTTTAGCAAAGCTTTTGACACAGTCTCCCACAGTATTCTTGCCAGCAAGTTAAAGAAGTATGGGCTGGATGAATGGACTATAAGGTGGATAGAAAGTTGGCCTAATTGTCGGGCTCAACGGGTAGTGATCAATGGCTCCATGTCTAGTTGGCAGCCGGTATCAAGTGGAGTGCCCCAAGGGTCGGTCCTGGGGCCGGTTTTGTTCAATATCTTCATAAATGATCTGGAGGATGGTGTGGATTGCACCCTCAGCAAGTTTGCAAACGACACTAAACTGGGAGGAGAGGTAGATACGCTGGAGGGTAGGGATAGGATACAGAGGGACCTAGACAAATTAGGGGATTGGGCCAAAAGAAATCTGATGAGGTTCAACAAGGACAAGTGCAGAGTCCTGCACTTAGGACAGAAGAATCCCATGCACCGCTACAGACTAGGGACCGAATGGCTCGGCAGCAGTTCTGCAGAAAAGGACCGAGGGGTTACAGTGGACGAAAAGCTGGATGTGAGTCAACAGTGTGCCCTTGTTGCCAAGAAGGCCAATGGCATTTTGGGATGTATAAGTAGGGGCATTGCCAGCAGATCGAGGGATGTGATTTGACATTGGTGAGGCCTCATCTGGAGTACTGTGTCCAGTTTTGGGCCCCGCACTACAAGAAGGATGTGGAAAAACTGGAAAGAGTCCAGTGGAGGGCAACAAAAATGATTAGGGGTCTGGAACACATAACTTATGAGGAGAGGCTGAGGGAACTGGGATTGTTTAGTCTGCGGAAGAGAAGAATGAGGGGGGATTTGATAGCTGCTTTCAACTACCTGAAAGGGGGTTCCAAAGAGGATGGCTCTAGACTGTTCTCAGTGGTAGTTGATGACAGAACAAGGAGTAATGGTCTCAAGTTGCAGTGGGGGAGGTTTAGGTTGGATATTAGGAAAAACTTTTTCACTGGGAGGGTGGTGAAACACTGGAATGCGTTACCTAGGGAGGTGGTGGAATCTCCTTCCTTAGAAGTTTTTAAGGTCAGGCTTGACAAAGCCCTGGCTGGGATGATTTAGTTGGGGATTGGTCGTGCTTTGAGCAGGGGTTGGACTAGATGACCTCCTGAGGTCCCTTCCAACCCTGATATTCTATGATTCTATGATTTTGTATTGTGCTATATAACTACCCAGACATCTGTTGGAAAAGACCCCCATTGTGACCAGGTCTTGCGTTTTGTTTATTTCTACTATTTGTTTTACAAATGCCTCATCTACCTCCTCTTCTTGATTTGGTGGCCTATAGTAGACCCCTACCAGGATGTCACCCTTGCATTTCCCCATTTTAGCTTTGCCCAGAGACTTTCAACTGGTCTGCCTCTCACCCCCTTCTGGACCTCAGAACAAGTGTATATATTCTTGACATGTAATGCAATACCACCTCTCTCTTTTCTCTGCCTGTCCTTCCTGAATAAGCCATAGCCCTCTATATCTATATTATAGTCATGAGATTTATCCCACCAAGCCTCTGGGATGCCAGTTAAGTCATATATCAGAGGGGTAGCTGTGTTAGTCTGGATCTGTAAAAGCGGCAAAGAGTCCTGTGGCACGTTATAGACTAACAGACGTATTGGAGCATAAGGTGTCGTGGGTGACTACCCATTTCGTCGGATGCATGTAGTGGAAATTTCCAGAGGCAGGTATAAATATACAAGCAAGAATCAGGCTAGGGATAACGAGGTTAGTTCAATCAGAGAGGATGAGGCCCTCTTCGAGCAGTTGAGGTGTGAACCAGATTAGCCACACCATCACCGGTTCATTTACCTGCACATCCAGCTATGTAATCTACGCCATCATGTGCCAGCAATGCCCCTCTGCTATGTACATCGGCCAAACTGGACAGTCCCTACGTAAAAGGATAAATGGACACACATCAGATATTAGGAATGGCAATATACAAAACCTGCAGAAGAACACTTCAACCGCCCTGGACACACAATAGCAGATTTCAAGGTAGCCATCCTGCAGCAAATAAACGTCAGGACCAGACTTCAAAGAGAAACTGCTGAGCTTCAGTTCATTTGCCAATTCGACACCATCAGCTCAGGATTAAACAAGGACTATGACTGGCTCGCCAACGACAAAAGCCGTGTCTTCTCCCTTGGGGTTCACACTCAACTGTTAGAAGAGGGCCTCATCCTCCCTGATTGAACTAACCTCGTTATCCCGAGCCTGATTCTTGCTTGCATATTTATACCTGATATTGTGCAGAGCTGCCCTAGGGAGAAGTGGTGCTATTCTCCTGGCAGCTGAAATGGATGCAAAATCTGTCTCCCCCCCCCCCACAATATCAAGAATGATGAAGAAATAGATATTGTAGGTTTTTTATGTTTCCCAGTAAGTGGTGGGTCATTGATCAACAAAGCAGAAAGAGACTCAGGGAAAGAATTTGCACTAATAACTTCTCAAACCCAGAACAGACCCCTCCCTGGATCAGACAAAAACATGCCCTAAATGTTGCAGGGAACTTTGGAAGCTCTATCAGATGAACATTTCCACTACATGCATCCGCCGAAGGGGTATTCACCTATGAAAGCTTATGCTCCAATATGTCTGTTAGTCTATAAGGTGCCACAGGACTCTTTGCTGCTTTTACAGTTAAGTAATAATTTATCTTATTGTACTAATACTTCCAGTTCTTCCTGTTTATTCATCATACTTCTTGCATTTGTTTAGAGACAAATAGCATCTCTCTCGCCTAGATATTTCACTTCACTACACAGGCTTCTGTTGTTAAAACAGCCAGGAGAGAAATTAGTTTTGTGCCTAACCTGCCTCAGATTTATCTGCTAAATTTCATCCCAGTATATACTCAGGTTAAGAGGACAGGTCTGGCTGTAACTTCCCCTGGGAAATGCCCATATGACCAGCCAAAGCATTAGCATGCCTTGCCCAGGCTAGCAGAACCTAATTAAATAACACCCATTGGTACGATTGTCCTAAGTGCTTCCCTTCCACCTAAGTCCATAAATGACTCCACTGCAAGGGACAGAAGGCTGAGCGCAAAACTATGCAGAGACTCAGAGGAAACCTTTAAGTGTGTTTGTTTTCTCGGTACATATTCTAGAGGGCTTGGAATGTGTACATTTTAAATGTGCCTTTTCCCCATCCCAGCAGCCTCTACTGAGCCTGCATTCCTCTTCAGCATGTTCCTGGTGGAAGGAACTTTCCGAGCTGCATGTCCCAATTTGTGACTGATACGGTTGCATCTTCCCAGGCTCAATTAGCATCGGAAATCACAGTGAACAATGTGCTGTGACTCTGTGTGCTAGACAAGCTCAAGGATGCTGTGAAGCTATGCAACATTTAAACAAACAACATTTAACGTACAGCAGATTTCAATCAAAAGCTAATGCTGTTGAAACACTCCTGGGTGAGGCTGTGGGGGAGGAAGAAACAGGGGCGCTTGCATTTATCAGGGGGTGAAAATACTGGACTTGCACCTTGCACAGGCTGTATGGAGCTGTTTGGCCCATCATCAATCATAAGCTTGATGAGCTCATTCATTCAGCGCAAGGGGCTGGGAGGGAAGGGTTTTGCTTTCTACTGGGCAAGGCACTGTTCTGTGCCCCAGTTCCCCCTCTGTACATTAGGGGATAACACTTACCTCCCCGAGGGGCTGCAGAGCTCGATGAGTGTTTGTAAAGTGCTTTGAGAGGCTGGGACGAAGAGGCAGGCAAGGGGTTGTACATCCCCACGCTTTCCATGCATGCCAAAATAAACGTATCAGCATGATCGAGTCAGGATTGGGCTTTCTAACCCACTGTGATTCAATGCTTCGATTTAAACCATCTTGCCTCTCTAAGAGGGATGTTTAAAAAAAATGTTATTTGACCAAACGATCTGAACAACTGCAGAGTGAGAAGGAATGGGGTCTTTAAGGAGGAGGAGGGAGGAGCGAGAGAGTGACAGAGAGACTCACACCAAGAGGTTCTTCCAACTGGTCTCTTTGCATTTTGAAGCCTTTTCAGTGACATCACTGTTCTTGTCTTTATAATAGAGGGGACCTAGGAGTCTGCATTCAGTCTGAGCTCAGGCAGATAAGCATATTAGAAACAACAGCACCTCCCATCTATCACCACAGAACAGGCTGGCATTTTATTTCCACCATGGATTGAGGGGTTAAGCTTAGATAATTTAGAGATCAGACCTACCTTTCTTTTTCTTTTTTTACTGGCCATTCTTCTTGTGCTGGAAATATAAGATTTTAAATGGGAAGTTGATAGCTTCTTCTGCCAGCCTGAAAGGAAGATTCCCTCAACTCCTAGAGGACGCAGGTAAGAAACTAAATAATTCCTGATATTGTGCAGAGCTGCCCTAGAGAGAAGTGGTGCTATTCTCCTGGCAGCTGAAATGGATGCAAAATCTGTGTCCCCCGCCAATATCAAGAATGATGAAGAAATAGATATTGTAGGTATTTTATGTTTCCCAGTAAGTGATGGGTCATTGATCAACAAAGCAGAAAGAGACTCAAGGAAAGAATTTGCACTAATAACTTCTCAAACCCAGAACAAACCCCTCCCTGGATCAGACAAAAACATGCCCTAAATGTTGCAGGGAACTTTGGAAGCTCTATTAGATTAACATGATCTATTTCTGCTTCCTTAATGGTCAAAATCAATTCACTGGAGCAACCAGTTAACGGCAGGGCTCTGGATCATTCAGCCCGTGCATAGAATTGAAGCATGAGTGTTGGTGCTTGCTGTGGGAGCATAGCGATAGCCTTAGACGTGGAAGGAGTGTGACGGGAACTGCTCGTATTCTTGTGCAGCTGAACGGGGCCCTGAAGGATGTGACAATGACCGCTCTGTGTTTATCGATTAGGCTTACGTCAGCAGAACATTTTCCCTCCAGGTGGCTGAGCAGGAACAGAAAACTGTCTGCATGTCTTGATCTCCGGGCCACCTGTAACCTTGTTCTTTGGTGCCGCGATTCTGTTCCCAATGGGAGGGATATGTGTGCATGCGGGAGATACTTCAACAAGGGGTGTAGCTTGGACAGCCTAGATGAACTCCTGAGTGCCCTGGAACAAGGTATGAGGAGGAGCCAGTCACATGAAGGGGAAGAGGCTCCTGCCTGGTTGGCTTTGCCCTGCAGAGTGGGGTGTGGGGTGTTTCCCGGAGTAAAGCACTGTCGCTCCAGAGAGTGGGGGAGAATTACACACTGCCAGACAGTAGGGGGTCAGCCTGGGATGGTCCGCACCAGGAATTCAGCCATCTGGATGAGGTGCTGAGCAGACAATTCTTAGCACGTGGGCAGTGCCAGGATGGCCAGGAAAGTTAAAGATCAGTGGCTTGATCATGCCAGGGCCTTCTGCACAAGGGTGTGCGTGTGTGGGGGATGGGGGTAAGGACTATCACACCCCCTGTGCCTGGCCTGCAATAGGGTCACATGGATTGGGGCCCTGGCATGCAGGGATGCTTCCCTGGGAGTAACTGGATAGAGAGTGGGCAAGGGGGCAAAGCCCTGGTTCCCCGTGGAACCCATGGGAGCTGGCTGGCTGCACGTGGAGTACGCTTCACCCTGGAAAGGGCTGTCGCTGACAGAGCCCCAGCGGGGAATGATGAGAGTCTGTGCCATGGAGGAACCTCTCTGAGGACCAGGCTCCTTGTGCTTCCCCACTGATTGTTCCTCAGGGCTGTGCCTGAAAGTGTGACCCAGCCCTCAGCTTTTAGGAATGGCTGGGGGAGGGAGTTTGGACAGGGCTTAGAGTAAGTGTCTGGAAATCCCCCTGGACTGAGCCTGACAGCTAAAAACTGACACTCAGACCTGACAGCGACAGCACCAGACAGCCCAGAACCTGCCCTTTGTCTGGCCAAAGCTTTCAGGGCGTTCACCCGGAGCTGCCCTCTAGTAGGATGTTCATAGCATTCCCACTGTAACACAGTGCTTTGCTCAGGGGCAACTCAGCTGGCGAATAAGAGACATTAGAGATTAAAAAGGCCTATTATGTCCCATGTAGACCAGCTCCTGTAAAGGGGGCAGGGGCAGGAGAGGATTGTTCATCCCCTCCAGTTTGTATTTTCGCTGGATGTAAACGCAGAAAATCTCATCCAAATGCATGCAGGCATCCATCCATCCCAGAGATACTGGGCTGGAAGAGACCTCGCGAGGTCATCGAGTCCAGCCCTCTGTCCTTGGCAGGACCAGGTGAACCAAGCCCATCCCTGACAGGTGTTTGTCCAGGCTGTTCTTAAAAATCTCCAGTGATGGGGATTCCACAACCTCCCTTGGAAGGAAGCCTGTTCCAGAGCTTAACTCCCCTGAGAGTTAGAAAGCTTTTCCTAATATCTAACTCAGTCTCCCTAGCTGCAGATTAAGCCCATCATGTCTTGTCCTACCTTCAGTGGACATGAGAACAATTGATCTCTGTCCTCTTTATAACAACCTCATATATTTGGAGACTTATCAGCCCCATCGCCGCCCCCCCCTTCTCTTCTCTAAACTCAACATTCCCAATTCTTTCAACCTTCCCTCATCGATCAGGTTTTCTAAACCTTTTATCATTTGTGTTACTATCCTCTGGAATCTGTCCAATTTGTTCACATCTTTCCTAAAATGTGGTACCCAGAACTGGACAGAGTCCTCCAGCGTGGGCCTCACCAGTGCCAAGTACACTGGGATAATTACCTCCCGTGTCTTACAGACAGGAACAATGGGACATCACTCTTGTTAATACAGCCCCAAATTGACTCCTTCTACATGAGAGTCACTCTAACTCCCAAAATGTTTTCTGCAGTACTGCTGCCTAGCTTGTTATTCCTCTTCGTGTAGCTGTGCATTTGATTTTTCCTTCCTAAGTGCAGTACTTTGCACTTGTCGTTATTGAATTTCATCTTACTGATTTTAGACCCATTCTTCAATTTATCAAAATCTTTTTGAATTTTAATCCTGTCCTCCAATGTGCTTACAATCCTTCCCATCTTGGAGTCATCTGCAAATTTTATAAGCCTACTCTCTACTGCGTCATCTAAGTCATTAATTAAAATACTGAATAGCACTGGACCCCAGACAGACCCCTGTGGGACATCACTTGAGAAGTCCTCCCACCTAGGGACAGACAAGCATCGATATCTACTCCTGAGTAGGGTTTTTCAACCAGGTGTGCACCCACCTTATAGACACTAAATCTAGACCATATTTCCCTGATTTGCTTATGAGAATGTCATGTGGGACTGGGTCAAAATCAAGATAAACACAGCTACTCCTTCCCCTACCCACTAGGCTGGCTACCCTGTGAAAGAGGGAAATTAGGTTGGTTTGACATGATTTACTCTTGACAAATCCCTATTGACTATTCCTTATAACCCTGTTATCCTCTATATTTGAACAAACAGATTAATAATTTGTTCCAGTATCTATCTAGCCTCCCTCCCTCACCATACAGATTTATCTATCTAGATTGCAAGCTCTTTGGGTCAGGGGCTGTCAGTACCTAGCGCATTGGAGCCCTGATTACTGTTTGAGGCTGATATGTGCAATACAAAAAATATCTACCTAGCTACTTACCTCTTCAGTAAATCATCTCTCACTGTAGTAGTGAGGCACTCTCTCTTTTGATGAAGGACTAGAGCAGGATGCTTGCATTCCTTTCTTCACTACAGGCCTATTATTAAAAGTCCTTTGCTCTTTAACATGCAGTGGCAATAAAAGTGGGACAAGCCCTGGAGAAAGGATGAGCCATGCCATACCCGCAGCCTGAACCTGAACGTCCACACGGCAATTTTATAGCTCTGCAGCCCGAGTCCAAGTCAGCTGCCCCGGGCCAGCCTCAGCTCTGCTGCCTGTCTTTTATTGCAGTGGAGACATGCCCTTATTAGCAACCCCAAAGCCAGCTTTGCTCCTTCAGAGCTCAACGGCCCCTGCTGCTCCATCCCCTCATGAGGTCAGACAACACTGACGGGTGCCTCATTGCTGGTTGCTGTGCAGAAGATAATTGTGCTGTTGTGAGAGTCTGACTCTCTTTCTTGTTGAGCAAGGACATCAGCAGAAAACTCAGGCACTGACAGCCAATTTGCATGCAAATCTCCTTTAGGGAAGAGAAACACTCAAAGCGCAAGGGATGGAATTAGTCTGAAAACAGAAGGGCAGATCCTGAGCTGGTGTAGACGGCCTGAGCTGTATTGCCTTCAGTGGAGCTCTGGCAATTCACACCAGCTGGGGATCTGCCTTGTTGTGGTACCTGCCCATTAAAAGGCATGATAATTACACAGCAGACTGCACCGCCTGCTCCCATGGTGTCCTTGTGATCACCCTCATTATGTTCCTACACTGATTACACAAATGCAATAATGGAATGCCAATTACGCAGATGACTTTTCTGCTGGGTGGATTTTCCCCCCTTCAACCTTGCCTCTCCCATTAATGTGCTGCCTATGAGTTAATAAGTTGTTTAGTTCATTTGACACATTCCAAGCTAGTTTGTACATATCTAGGGAAATAGTCTTGTACAGAGAACAGGAGGACTTGTGGCACCTTAGAGACTAACCCATTTATTGGAGCATGAGCTTTCGTGAGATACAGCTCACTTCATCTGATGCATTAGCATCCGATGAAGTGAGCTGTAGCTCACGAAAGCTCATGCTCAAATAAATGGATTAGTCTCTAAGGTGCCACAAGTCCTCCTGTTCTTTTTGCGAATACAGACTAACACGGCTGTTACTCTGAAACCAGTCTTGTACAAATATTCCTTCTCTCATTTCTCTATCTTTCCTGCTCTCATTTCTCTATCTTTCACTGATCCACCTATACCCGTTTCTGCATCAATCCCCAGGCACCTCTATCTATCTATGCACATGCCTATCTCAGTTTCTATATCTGCACCACACTGATACCCATTGTTTCTGAGTGTCTTGTCACAAACCTTCTTCCAACTTGAAACTTCTCTGTTGTCAAAACACTGAAATTTCCATAATTCTCCTATTGTCTTTCACAGCTGAGCAAAATTCGTGCCAGGCCATGGATGACCCCAGGATGGAGTCAGAAGGCAGAATCAACAAGACGATCTCTTCTTTAACGAGCCATAAAAGGAACTTGACATATTCGCCCTACTACCAGCACTCCCTGCCTGTTGCCGCTATCTATATAATCTCCTACTTGTTTATCTTTGCCTTGTGCATGGTTGGGAACAGTCTTGTTTGCTTCATTGTGCTGAAGAACAGCCGGATGAGAACAGTGACCAACCTCTTTATCCTCAACCTAGCCATCAGCGACCTGCTGGTTGGGATTTTTTGTGTGCCCACCACACTCGTGGACAATTTAATCACAGGTAAGGAGAGAGGGTGACACTGAGTGCTCTCTGTGCTGGCCAGACCCCCAGCAGTGTCCCACCTACAAGATTCAGAGTAACAGCCGTGTTAGTCTGTATTCGCAAAAAGAAAAGGAGTACTTGTAGCACCTTAGAGACTAACCAATTTATTTGAGCATGAGCTTTCGTGAGCTACAGCTCACTTCATCAGATGTATACCGTGGAAACTGCAGCAGACTTTATATACACACAGAGATCATGAAACAATACCTCCTCCCACCCCACTGTCCTGCTGGTAATAGCTTATCTAAAGTGATCATCAGGTGGGCCATTTCCAGCACAAATCTAGGTTTTCTCACCCTCCACCCCCCCACACAAATTCACTCTCCTGCTGGTGCTAGCCCATCCAAAGTGACAACTCTTTACATAATCAAGTCGGGCTATTTCCTGCATAAATCCAGGTTTTCTCACATCCCCCCCACCCCCATACACACACAAACTCGCTCTCCTGCTGGTAACAGCTCATCTAAACTGACCACTCTCCAAGTTTAAATCCAAGTTAAACCAGAACATCTGGGGGGGGGGGGTAGGAAAAAACAAGAGAAAACAGGCTACCTTGCATAATGACTTAGCCACTCCCAGTCTCTATTTAAGCCTAAATTAATAGTATCCAATTTGAGTTAATGAGAGTTAATGAGAAGAGAGTTAATGAGTTAATAAGTTAATAAAGAGTTAATGAGAAGAGAGACACTGCTGAGTGCTCTGAGCACAGGACTGACCCAATCCCAGTTTCCTCTGGGTTGTCAGGCACATAACTTCACTGCTCTGGGCCATTTACATACACACCTGCCTCAGAGGGGAGGTGTCAGCTAATACTTATTCATTCCTTTGAAGAAGGAAATTGCCTTATAAATGCTAAGTGTAAGGAAACCACTAAGAGGTAAAGCAGCCTTAGGAACACAGGCAATGCAGCTCCATGGGGAGCATCCAAAGGTGTGAACACCTGAGAGAGACAGGGATCATTTAGGGTTGTGCGAGTGGTGCAAAACTAGCCAACATTTGCAAACCTGGGTGCCTCGTGGCAGACTCCTAAATAAATGCTGCCTCGTTTGCAAAGGAGGCTGAGTCTCTGTAGTTCCCAGTGGCTTCCATAGGATCAGCAGCTGCTCAGCACCTTTGAAAAATGAGCCCCCTGTTGGGATCAGGCCCTTGGTCCCTACGGAAAGGTGTGGGGCTGCTGCTGGAAGTGCCTCTCATATGGTAGAACAGGTCAGGAGAGTCTCTTCTTCCAGTCCCGAGCTGGCCCAGTGATGGCTGGGCCTGTCCCCAGGCCAGGACTCTCCACAGGGATCAATGCTGTTCCCACAGGCTTCACTACGTGTCTGCTGAGCCCAGCAGCTCCCTCCCCTCTCGACTAGAGCACCCAGGGGTTGTTCTGCTGTGCTGCCTAGGCCTGGCTAGGGGTGAATAGCTCAGCACTTCCTGCTCTGGCCCAGGAGCACCTTGGAATAATGCCCTAGCCAGAGGGCTCAGGCAGGAGGCAGCTGGCATCTGTGTGGTCTCAGGCTTGGAGCCTGGAAAAAACAAGGACTGTCTAACACATTGAAGCTTTTATGGTTGCTGGCACCCAAAGCCCTTGGCTTGTTAAGGACACTGGGTTGCTCTGAGACACGCTCGCTAAATTCGCCACAGAAATGTCTCTCATTTTCTCTAACTGCTAAATGAATTCTTGGCTCGCTGGAGTGAGGGGCTGACAGTGCCGCCCAGGTGCAGGGAGAGGAGATGCTGTATAAACTTCCCACACACATCTCTGCCAAGCGACACCAGTCCAGACCTGCTGTGACCCCTCCCAACCCAGGGACCCTGGCAGCTCTGCCAGTGAACAATCTCTGCTACTGCAAGTCCAGAGCTCCCACACAGCCCTGCTAAGGCACATCAATCCTGACCCACAGGCAATGTTCCCTCTAATTTTTGACAGGCTGTGTGTGCAAAAAATTTCTTCTGTGCAAATTTTTGTGTGCACAGTGTTTTGCCATGTGCGCGGGGTTTAGGATCTGTGTGTGCGCATACACGCGCACAGCTTAGGGGAAACAGTGCCCACAGGGCTTGCTGCTCCAAGTCTGGTCTTCCACACTGCTCTTTAATATCTGTCCTGCAGCCCCCCTCACATGGCTCTGCCAGTCCCCTTCGATCCTGACCTGCAGCACCCCATGATTGCCCAGGCCCACACCCCATCACTCCCCAGATCTGCCAATTGTTCTCAGGTGGACATTTCATATACAAGTATAAGATGCTAACTTGTCTGAGTTTCTGGAGTGAGATGACTGCTGCTTTGGTAGAGAAGAGCCGCTAACGATGAAATCACCCCCAACAGCTTCTCTGACGGGTAGGGGCTTAATGTGCAAGCTGCAGGGATGCTTTTCAGCTGCAGCCTGCAATTAGTGCTGTATTCGGCCACAGCATCCTCTCCCAATCTCTCTATCATGTGATCTCCCCTGGGGAAAGCAAACTGCATTGGCATTTCATGCTGCAGCAACTGAGTTGAAACTAGAACAGGAAGACTTGTGGCACCTTAGAGACTAACCAATTTATTTGAGCATGAGCTTTCGTGAGCTACAGCTCACTTCATCGGATGCATTCAGTTTTTCCACGGTATGCATCCGATGAAGTGACCTGTAGCTCACGAAAGCTTATGCTCAAATAAATTGGTTAGTCTCTAAGGTGCCACAAGTCCTCCTGTTCTTTTTGCGAATACAGACTAACACGGCTGCTACGCTGAAACCTGAGTTGAAACTGCACCTCTTGGGTTTGTTGAGCTTCTGCTTCCCCCAGACTCACACTGACCCGTGTCTGATTGTTTTCTTCTAGGTTGGCCCTTCAGCAATGGAATCTGCAAGATGAGTGGGCTGGTTCAGGGTATGTCTGTGTCCGCGTCTGTTTTCACGCTGGTGGCGATTGCGGTGGACAGGTGAGAAGGGGCTGCACAAGGGACAGTGCAGCTGCAGCAGCATAAACGGAAGCTCCCCCACCCCCTGACTTTAAATAAAGCAAATCCGGTGCCAACTGCCAGGTTCAAAGCACAGGGCTCGGAAACCCCTTCTGACTCTCATTAAGATCAATGGGGAAAGATTCCCATAGATTTACACCGGGACTGGAGCAGGCTCTTTATCCACAGCCCTGGCAGTACCTGGTGCAGCAGCAGCTTCCCCACACTGCCCTGCCAAGGTGCGGAGGGGGAACCTTGCTCGGTGCACGAATGTGACTCAGGCCTCAAGGCCCATTTGGCCCTTAGGCCAGGTCGACACCGCAGAACTTCGGCTTGCATAGCTCTGTTGGTCAGGGGTGAGATTTGTGGCCAACAGAGGTGTGCTGGCAAAAGGGGGAGGCAGGCATGAGCTAGACAGTAGCATCTAAAGTGCAGCGTTGGTGTAAGCGGTGTCCACACTGGGAGTGCTTGGCTGCTCTAGTACACCAGCAGAGCGGTACTGGCCAAGCCTTCCAAGGGCAGGCCTGGCCGTAGCTGCTATGTTGCCAGTCCAGGACAGTTCTGCTGGTGACTTTTGCCTAGCAGATGCCTGCCCACATGCAAGCCCCAAGCGCCTTCCACACAAGGGCCCTGAGCAGCCATCAGCTAGGACCCGCTAGCACAAGGGGCAGGACAGAGCTGTGTGCTGCTGGGGGTGCCTCTTCTTCCCTTGATCAATCCCTGAGCTATCCAGTCCCAATGCCAGGGTTTTCACGTCTGAAATTTGTGACGCTATGCTGAGCGTGAACGGCTTCAAAGGCTGATATTTTTGCAAGACAACTATGTTCAATTAAAAACTCAATTACTTGGAGAACAGTTATGGGACAGCTGAATTAATAACTCCAAAATGGTTTCAAATAAGAAACAGCCAGAATCAAAAGGTTATTTCCACTCCCGTACGTTTTAATCATTAAGAGCCATGTGCCTCCTCGCAGCCATTCACATCAGCACAATGTGGCAAAGGCAGATAATTATCTCAATCAAATGTAGGTTTCCTTGGCTTGCAGTCTTGTGCTGCAGGATAATTGGGGGAGTTTGACTTTATGAGTGAACCTGCAAACTCCAGATAAGACTGGAATGGAAGGGTAGGCCACTGGTTCTACCTTCCTGCTTCCGGGCACATGCCAGCTTCTTACTGATCAGAGTTAGGAAGAAAATTTTCCTCTGTGCAGGTGATTCTGTAAATGCCTGTTGCAGGTTTTTTTGAACCTTCCTCTGAGTGCAGCTGGTACTGGCCCCTGTCAGAGGTGAGATACTGGGCAAGAGGGACTCCTGGTCTGAGCTAATCTGGCAACCCCTCTGTCCTAAGAAAAATGTTATTTTTAGAGCTGGTTGAAAGTTTTTCTCTGAAAGAGGGGTAGTGCTGGAAGGTGGCAGGGTGGTGGGTTTTGTTTTGTTTTGTTTTTAAATGGTGGAAAATGGATTTTTTGATCAAACAGAAACTCATGAAAAATTTCCATTTTTGTCAAACGGGTTGGGCTTTCATTTAAAAGCTCTCTCCCCTTCTGCCTCTCACGCTTGGAACAAGCATCCCCTCCACAGCCACAAACCTTACTCATCCTCCTCCTTAAACCTCCTTTGCCGTGAAGCCTACATAAACCTGACAACAGTCATGTTGCTGGTGTCCTGAGACCACGGCCTATCATCCTGACCAGCACTGTCTCAGTGTTTCCTTGTGCTCCCCCGTCTGCCTGTCCCCACCTGCTGTGCTTGTCTTATACTTATATCATCAGCTCCTCGGAGCAGAAACCATCCCTTTGTTCTGTGTTTGTACTGCGCCTAGCAGAGCAGGGGCCTAGTCCATAGAATCATAGAATATCAGGGTTGGAAGGGACCTCAGGAGGTCATCTAGTCCAACCCCCTGCTCAAAGCAGGACCAATCCCCAATTAAATCATCCCAGCCAGGGCTTTGTCAAGCCTGACCTTAAAAACTTCTAAGGAAGGAGATTCCACCACCTCCCTAGGTAACGCATTCCAGTGTTTCACCACCCTCTTAGTGAAAAAGATTTTCCTAATATCCAACCTAAACCTCCCCCACTGCAACTTGAGACCATTACTCCTTGTCCTGTCCTCTTCTACCACGGAGAATAGTCTAGAACCATCCTCTCTGGAACCACCTCTTAGGTAGTTGAAAGCAGAAAGCAGGACTGGGGCTCCTTGGTGCTACGGTAATACAAGGAATCAACAACCAGTACCTCCACTACAGAATGGGGGTACAGTGTAAAGACGCAAGCAGTGAAATTCTGGCTCTGTTGAAGTCAATCCTGGCATTTTAGCAATGATCTAGGATTTCACCCCTTCTCTCTTTCAATGGAAGTTTTACCATGACTTCAATGGAAGCTGAATTAGGCCAATACTAAGAGCTTTTGAAAAACCCAGCAAGTGTTTGGATTAGATAGTAGGGACCCCTGCCCCTTTCCACCTCTGTGGGTGGGCCCAAAAAGACATGATCTGGGAGTTACCTACCAGTATCCTTGGCCCAAGGTAATCATGCACCATGTCCCAGGAGAACCCCGTACTGCTTTGTGCTTAGACTCCATTTGAGTCTTGCTCTGTGGAAGTTTCTCTCAGTAGAACTCACCTACCTGTGTGTTGGTTTTGCACCAGGTTCCGATGCATCATTTACCCCTTTAAATCCAAGCTCAGCCTGCTCAAGGCCCTGAACACCATTGCGGTCATCTGGGTCCTGGCCATCACCATCATGTGCCCTTCTGCTGTCATGCTCACAGTGGTGGAGATTGAGGATCACTACATGGTGTACAATGACAACCAGAGCCTGGCTTACCCCTTGTATTCCTGCTACGAGGCCTGGCCCAACAGCGAGATGCGCAAGGTCTACACCACTGTCCTTTTTGCCCACATCTACGTGGCCCCATTGGCCCTCATCATGGTCATGTACAGTAGGATCGGCATCAAACTCTACAGGTCATCGGGCCCGGTGAGCAAGCACAGGGTGGAGAACCAGGAGTGCTGCAGTGCTGCTGTCTCCAGGCGGAAGGTCAAGGTAATCAAGATGCTCATTCTGGTGGCCCTGCTCTTCATGCTTTCCTGGCTGCCCCTGTGGACCCTGATGCTGTTCACAGACTATACCAAGCTGGATGACAACCAGATCAACCTGCTGACAGGCTACATCTTCCCCTTTGCACACTGGCTCGCCTTCTCCAACAGCAGCGTCAATCCCATCATCTATGGCTACTTCAATGAGAACTTCAAGCGGGGCTTCCAGACAGCCTTCAAGTTCCAGATTTGCTCGGAGGACATAGGGCACCACAAGGCCTATTTGGAGAAGGTGACGGGCAGCACCAGTGGCTTCAGCACTCGCAACAAGATCTTCACAGACAGGGAATCTTCCGACTCCATCTGCCTCAAGAACCTGCATGCCAAATCCCCCTGCCTCATGCAGAATGGACAGGCCCAGAAACAGGGACTTCACTTGCAGGATATTGATAAAATCACCCCTCTGAACAAAGTCTGCAAAGCATGGGATGATTGAAATGACTGGCGAGATCGGAATGCGGTCTCTTTCCATTTGCAAATGTCACTTTTATTTGTCACGGTGATGCGTGTGCAGTGATGAGTATTTTCCCCTCAGGCCTGGGTACCTAGCTATTCATATTCTGTTTTGTAAATGCACAAGGAATCACATGGGGCTGCTGTTCAATATTCCTACTGATGCACAGATATCTGTCAATCGCTTTCAGTGTCTAGTTGAGGCTAGCTGTCATATAAAATGTCCATGTATTAAAACTACAACTGCATGCAGAGTTTCCTTGGCTTGCAATCAGCATGTGGTGTTTTGGGGGTGGAAAAATGTATTTCACAGGGTCAGGATTCAGTTTTGCATTTGAAAAAAAAAAAATCTGTGAGGATTTGTCTTCTTGTTTTAGCAGAGTGCTGTCTGTCAAGCTCTTCCTGCGGTGGAGCCGCCCCATCTGTTATATGTGCAGAAGAGAATCCCAAAGCTGATGGGGCAGCCAGAGTCTCTCTCTGGATGCTCTTCCAACCTTCCAAGGGCCGTACTTCAGTACACAAGCTGAACCATTCCAGGAGCTCCGCAGTGTTACACAAGAAATTGCAGCTGTATCCAGGGAGAGTGCCACAATAAACACGCCACCCTTTTGGTGCTAAGATCACTTTAAAACTGAACGGATTTAAAATAAATAAATAAATAAAAAAATCTAGGCCCCAGTCCAGCAGAGCACGTAAGCAGATGCTTATCTTCAAGCATGGGAGCAGGCAGGTTCCTGATGCTTTTCACCATTCCTACTCTTTGACCCTGACTAGACTAGAAATATGAGCCGGTTTAACTAAATAGATTAAAAAAAAAAAATCTAATTCAACAAGTGCAAACCCTTAACAGATACACGTCAGATGGTTTAACCTTTATTTAAACAGGTTCAGCTGAGTCAGTAAGTTCCAGTGAAATAGGCAAGGGTTAGACTGGTTTAGTGCACCTGGATTAGGGGTTTTCCCCAGTATAATGGATCAATTTTCTGATTGATTTATTTCAGCCAGTGCACTCGTCTAGTACGGACTAGGACTTTGTTACCGCTTGGCACTTTGCTCAGCAAAAATTCCCCCGTGGACACAATGAACTACTGAAACAATGGAATAACAGACATCACCAAAGACCGTGAGCCAAATTCTGTTCATTTACACTTGTGTCTCTAGAGTAATAGCAGTTGCAGTTACTCCAGATTCACATTGCTGTGTCAGAGGGGAGAACTCACCTCACCATCTCCCCAGCTGCCAGGGGTTGCTTGGGGACAATGCAGAACTGTATGTCTCCCATGGGCATTGCCATTTCAGAGCCCCTCAGCAGAGCTTGTGATGTGGAATACACAGTGTGCCTGTTCCAGTGGTTGGCCCTTGGAGATTTCACTGGCAACACAGCCTGAGCAGGTGTCAGCCACACAGGTCTGCTAGAACATGAGTCTGTTGTGCTCTTTGATCCATCTGTACCCATTCTCTGAATGTAGATTAGCTCATGCAAATTGTACAAACAATAGCCTAACTATTTCCTGTTAGTTACAACGCCCATGCTAAATCAGCTCATGTCTATTCATAATCACACTGTGAATCAGTTATTTTTCCTCACGCCTGTGTCTTGCTCCTGCGATACAGAGGGAAATTCATTCCAGTGTTTTAATGGGTTCTGTGTCATTTCTCTGGATTTCTGGGATTTGTGGCAACGAGAAATGGAGGAAGAACTCCAAAGAACAAAGGGGATTGGAAGCAGAAAGAACTGAATATAAAGAGAACAGTCTAAAATGAGCTTCCAAACTAGTGCTGTAACCTTCCTAATTAATCTAGCAGGGAATCTCAATATTTAAATGCAGAAAACTAGATCCTGGATGCCAACAGAAATTCCTGCCCATATGCGTTAAAGACCAAAAGGGACCATTGCATTTTGCCCCAACCTGAGTTCCAGGAGAAAATGAATCCTACACCAAAGAGCGGCCTTGAAACCAATGTGTCCTGAACCACATGATCACACCATAAAACATCAGGTTGGATTAGTTTTCCCCACTCAAGCCAGAGGCATCAGGGAAAGGGAGCCCAGGAAAACCGTCTCCACGACCGCTGCTAATGAAATTGCACAGAATAGAATCATAGAATCATAGAATATAAGGGTTGGAAGGGACCCCAGAAGGTCATCTAGTCCAACCCCCTGCTCAAAGCAGGACCAATTCCCAGTTAAATCATCCCAGCCAGGGCTTTGTCAAGCCTGACCTTAAAAACCTCTAAGGAAGGAGATTCTACCACCTCCCTAGGTAACGCATTCCAGTGTTTCACCACCCTCATAGTGAAAAAGTTTTTCCTAATATCCAATCTAAACCTCCCCCACTGTAACTTGAGACCATTACTCCTCGTTCTGTCATCTGATACCATTGAGAACAGTCTAGAGCCATCCTCTTTGGAACCCCCTTTCAGGTAGTTGAAAACAGCTATCAAATCCCCCCTCATTCTTCTCTTCTGCAGGCTAAACAATCCCAGCTCCCTCAGCCTCTCCTCATAACTCATATGTTCCAGACCCCTAATCATTTTTGTTGCCCTTCGCTGGACTCTCTCCAATTTATCCACATCCTTCTTGAAGTGTGGGGCCCAAAACTGGACACAGTACTCCAGATGAGGCCTCACCAATGTCGAATAGAGGGGAACGATCACGTCCCTCGATCTGCTCGCTATGCCCCTACTTATACATCCCAAAATGCCATTGGCCTTCTTGGCAACAAGGGCACACTGCTGACTCATATCCAGCTTCTCGTCCACTGTCACCCCTAGGTCCTTTTCCGCAGAACTGCTGCCTAGCCATTCGGTCCCTAGTCTGTAGCTGTGCATTGGGTTCTTCCGTCCTAAGTGCAGGACCCTGCACTTATCCTTATTGAACCTCATCAGATTTCTTTTGGCCCAATCCTCCAATTTGTCTAGGTCCTTCTGTATCCTATCCCTCCCCTCCAGCGTATCTACCACTCCTCCCAGTTTAGTATCATCCGCAAATTTGCTGAGAGTGCAATCCACACCATCCTCCAGATCATTTATGAAGATATTGAACAAAACCGGCCCCAGGACCGACCCTTGGGGCACTCCACTTGATACCGGCTGCCAACTAGACATGGAGCCATTGATCACTACCCGTTGAGCCCGACAATCTAGCCAGCTTTCTACCCACCTTGTAGTGCATTCATCCAGCCCATACTTCCTTAACTTGCTGACAAGAATACTGTGGGAGACCGTGTCAAAAGCTTTGCTAAAGTCAAGAAACAATACATCCATTGCTTTCCCTTCATCCACAGAACCAGTAATCTCATCATAGAAGGCGATTAGATTAGTCAGGCATGACCTTCCCTTGGTGAATCCATGTATCAAGAATACACTTGATTCTGTCCAAACCTTGAGGCCATCTGTTTCTGTTACAGGGCCTCCCCTGGCTGCTCCATCATACCAAACATGGCTGGCAGGTTACTGATTCAGGGAGGATGTTGTGAATTTGTTTTTCATCTGCAGTCCAGTAAATTAAACTTGAAGCTTAATCCTCATTTGTCCAGTCTCCTGGAAGAAAAGCCAAAGGCCCTGTTCTCAATTGAATCCATCACCTGCACGTATAACTAGCTCTTTTGGCAGACAGAAGAAGGAACAAAACACTCAATTGTGCAGAGAGGGTGGTTCCTACTTAAATCAGAAATCAATCCAGTATGAAGGCTTCCACACTCAGGCAATTAGTGCTGGATATATTGCTTGCTTTATTGACTCATGTCAAGGTTCCTCCCCCACTCTGAACTCTAGGGTACAGATGTGGGGACCTGCATGAAAAACCTCCTAAGCTTATCTTTACCAGCTTAGGTCAAAACTTCCCCAAGGTACAAAATATTCCACCCGTTGTCCTTCGACTGGCCGCTACCACCACCAAACTAATACTGGTTACTGGGGAAGAGCTGTTTGGACGCGTCTTTCCCCCCAAAATACTTCCCAAAACCTTGCACCCCACTTCCTGGACAAGGTTTGGTAAAAAGCCTCACCAATTTGCCTAGGTGACTACAGATCCAGACCCTTGGATCTTAAGAACAATGAACAATCCTCCCAACACTTGCACCCCCCCTTTCCTGGGAAATATTGGATAAAAAGCCTCACCAATTTGCATAGGTGACCACAGACCCAAACCCTTGGATCTGAGAACAATGAAAAAGCATTCAGTTTTCTTACAAGAAGACTTTTAATAAAAATAGAAGTAAATAGAAATAAAGAAATCCCCCCTGTAAAATCAGGATGGTAGATATCTTGCAGGGTAATTAGATTCAAAAACATAGAGAACCCCTCTAGGCAAAACCTTAAGTTACAAAAAAGATACACAGACAGAAATAGTTATTCTATTCAGCACAATTCTTTTCTCAGCCATTTAAAGAAATCATAATCTAACACATACCTAGCTAGATTACTTACTAAAAGTTCTAAGACTCCATTCCTGGTCTATCCCCGGTAAAGACCAGCATATAGACAGACACACAGACCCTTTGTTTCTCTCCCTCCTCCCAGCTTTTGAAAGTATCTTGTCTCCTCATTGGTCATTTTGGTCAGGTGCCAGCGAGGTTACCTTTAGCTTCTTAACCCTTTACAGGTGAGAGGAGCTTTCCCCTGGCCAGGAAGGATTTCAAAGGGTGTCATAAATATAAAGGGAAGGGTAAACCCCTTTGAAATCCCTCCTGGCCAGGGGAAAGCTCCTCTCACCTGTAAAGGGTTAAGAAGCTAAAGGTAACCTCGCTGGCACCTGACCAAAATGACCAATGAGGAGACAAGATACTTTCAAAAGCTGGGAGGAGGGAGAGGAACAAAGGGTTTGGGTCTCTCTGTATGCTGCTCTTGCCAGGGACAGAACAGGAATGGAGTCTTAGAACTTTTAGTAAGTAATCTAGCTAGGTATGTGTTAGATTATGATTTCTTTAAATGGCTGAGAAAAGAATTGTGCTGAATAGAAAACTATTTCTGTCTGTGTATCTTTTTTGTAACTTAAGGTTTTGTCTAGAGGGGTTCTCTATGTTTTTGAATCTAATTACCCTGCAAGATATCTACATCCTGATTTTACAGGGGGGATTTCTTTATTTCTATTTACTTCTATTTTTTATTAAAAGTCTTCTTGTAAAAACTGAATGCTTTTTCATTGTTCTCAGATCCAAGGGTTTGGGTCTGTGGTCACCTATGCAAATTGGTGAGGCTTTTTATCCAACATTTCCCAGGAAAGGGGGGGTGCAAGTGTTGGGAGGATTGTTCATTGTTCTTAAGATCCAAGGGTCTGGGTCTGTAGTCACCTAGGCAAATTGGTGAGGCTTTTTACTAAACCTTCAAAACACCCTCCGAACCTCTTTAGCCCTTG